TCCTTGACCATCGACTTTCGTTCAAAGCCCTCTCTTTGAACACTCGGGAACTACTTCCCTAACCTTGATAACCTTGCCTCATGGCAAGCTTCAAGACCACGCTTCTGCTGCGCCACTCTGATTTCGCGCGTTCCATGAACCATTTACCCTTGGCCTTTCTAGGTACTACGCTACCTAGAATCGTCTTTGGGAACCTTGAAGGAACTCTGTCCCTCAGCTTGCTAAGGCCTCCCCTTTCGCAAGCTTTATAGTTGCCATATAATCTAACATGGACAATTCCATATTTTAGACTCTCCATGGCATCACGGTTGCTAGCAACAACATCCTCGAGCACCCTCTTGATTCTCCACTCCCAACTTTCATAACCACTGTTGGATATGCCCTTTGATTTCTATGGTTCAGTTCCATCCCAACACTACTTGCCTTTGGCTTCACACCTTTCCTTCGGTCATTCTCCTCCAGACCAGGAGGATAGCTTTGCACTTTCTATCATGCCTTAGCAAGTATTCTTAGGGATGAACCTACCCAATAGCCCAGGGAGTGGTTCCTCAATCCAGGTATGCTCAGCTTATAATCCCACACACTGGGGTTACATTGTTGCTTATGGGCCTTTACATGCCCATCACTAGCCTTGCCAAAATTCCATTTTTGGCTTTGTCCAACTTGGGTAGACAGTCCTCTCCTGTCTCCGCAACCTTGGACATTTGGATAGCACCTTCTATCCATCATTCGCTAGGGACTTAGTCCCTTGGGCTTTATCCATTGCCCTCGCGACATCAAACACCACTTTATGGTGTTCTAGAGTGTTCGGGTGTCCCAATGATGGCTTTCTTGACAATGAGTATTTCCTTTTATGACATTGACTTACTATATTGCAACATAAGCAACTTATCCCCCGTAAGGGTATATCTGACTTCCCTATACTAGAAGTCTTGGGTAGCTACCTTCTACCCATTTAACCAGTTATTTTCCACCTCTTGCTTAGTTGCCTCATAGTTGTCAAGTCCTACAACTCATTGCTTGGTGCTTTCACACCTCCATCACTATCTGGGTCACCACACTCCAACTGCATGCTCTGCAGCTTAGGCTATGCCATTCCCATTTCCATTGGGATTCCTTTGGCAAGGGGTTCTAATGAACCCACCAACATAGCCTCAAGGTATCACACCTTGGCACATTTGGTGTCTCCACACCATCGGCTCCACGAGCCTACCTCTATGACATTTCCATTCGTGTCTAAGTCTTTGCCAAGACCAACACCGCTCTTTCTCATGCCAACCATCTGTTAGCACTGCCCCATAGAGGTCACACACAACTTTATGTCAAAGTTGTTTTCTTCTGGGAACACCTTTCCCATAACTTTAGCATGGCACATTGCCATCGATGAGATACTCTCTGTTCTCATCCTTGGATCCTATGATCCCCCCCCATCCTTTGTGGGGTACAATGCACCTCAGTCCAAATGCTTCATTCAGTCCTTTTAGGACCATCCCTTGACTCTACTTGAGTCGTCTAGCAGTTTTGGACTTGGTTAATCCACCGACCCGTAAGGTCCTACTTGTGAGGCACTAGCTCACTGGAATACACATCTTGCATTCCGGTCCTACTCAAAAGGACTATTTTCACAAGTGTTACTCCGACACTTGATTTTGTTCTCTGGGGGCAACCTTTGCCCCTTAGGACTACTTGTCCATGTGATGAGAATACCAACTCATCCACTTAATACACCCCCAACTCTTTGGGTTGTTCCAGCATTTATTAGAGGTAGCCCCGGCTACCATTTCAAGGACTTGAGTCCTCTTCTGTATTTGACCTTCCACGGTCATTACCTTTGGTCTCACATTCATGAGCACCAACCTCAACTATATGAGGATAATCTTGTGACTCCTTTATTGTTTTGGAGTCTCTATCTTTCCCGTGATCCCAACTTTAGTTGTTTACCACAACAACCTAAGCCAATTTGCTGACACAAATGCTCATCCGGATCACATCCTCAACTCAATGAGGAAAACCTTGCACTGTTCCCAAGATCCCAAAGTTGTTCCATTATTGGCCCTTTTCTATCCACCACCTCATCTACAAGTTCACACATGAACTGTAATGGAGAGCCATGTCTTCCAGACTTGCTACTCCTCAAGGATAGGCCCACTCCTCGGACCTTCCGATGCCAACACTAGTGGTGATATACTTGAGCACCAATAAAAGTCGGACTAAGGAACAGCTCCGATACCAAATTGTATGTGACTAATTTTTCCATTCTACTTTAGTCACTTAACCACACCTTCGACCACTTGGAGGAGTCTCACTCACAACCTCCTTAAGTCCAATTCAGGACTTGGGACTTGCTAGCCCCAAGAATGGCATCCATGCCACTCAACACTTGCACCTGGTCCAAGTGCTCCACGTGTCCGGTCCCAAGACCGACACCCAAAGGTACCACTGACATCTCGGCCCGTTACGCTAAGGCCATGCCCATTCACCTTTGCTGCACTAGTGGTCCAATACCACTTGCATCACCATCCCGTCTCTCCAAGACTGGGCTATCGGTCCACGAGTGGTCATCCTAGATCCACTCCTTAGCATCCTTAGGATGCCCACAGACCTGGGGAATCGCCTTCCCCAAAGTCCCTTTGTCAATTCCTACCAAGTCCCTTTTTGCCCCTGGCCGTGTTTGCCAACACTGCCACTGGATCGAGGCCCACAGGCCCGACCACTAAGTCCCATGGTCCTCTGGGGCTTCCTCACCACACGACTGTGTCCTTGGTCACTACCCCAGAGGACTGCTCCCCTTCCTTTCCACAGTCTAGGCCTTTGGGACAACATTTCGGAACACCGTGGCCTTACGCAAGCCACCTGGGTACTCTCCCCGCCTTTCGCCTTTAGGTGCTCTAGCCATGGGCTTAGAGCGAGGTTCCGTTGAGCCACACCTGGTATCCAAGTAGGTAGTGCCACCCACACTTGGACTGGGAGCATCGGCCAGTCGATCTCCCGGGGGAACTAGAGCCGGCTCTTGAACACTTCACCAAGCTACCCCGCTTGTCAGTCCGTGTTCACTCTAGTCTTGGACTTCCCAGTGGGCATCTCATCACCCAACACTGGGTCCGGCCTTCCTGGGCCAAACTGGCCTTTCCTGGCCAAACTGGCTCCACTGCAGTCCTCCCCCTACTATACTTTTGGAGCTCACCAAACCCCCCAGGGTCTGGGAGACGAACGCTTTGGGCTTTCACCCTCTCAGGCTCCGGACTCAGACTCGGACTCGGACTCGGACTCGGACTCGGACTCGGACTCGGACTCGGACTCGGACTCGGGCTCGGGCTCGGTCTTGGCCTCGGCCTCGGTCTCGGTCTCGGTCCCGATCTCGGTCTCGGTCTCGGTCTCGGTTCCGGTCTCGGTCTCGACTTCGGACTCCATCTCGGACTCCATCTCGGACTCCATCTCGGACTCCATCTCGGGTCCATCTCGGGTCCATCTCGGACTCCATCTCGGACTCCATCTCAGGTCCATCTCGGACTCCATCTCGGACTCCATTTCGGGTCCATCTCGGGTCCATCTCGGACTCCATCTCGGACTCCATCTCGGGTCCATCTCGGACTCCATCTCGGACTCCATCTCGGGTCCATCTTGGGTCCACCTCGGACTCCATCTCGGACTCCATCTCGGACTCCATCTCGGGATCCATCTCGGACTCCATCTCGGACTCCATTTCGGGTCCATCTCGGGTCCACCTCGGACTCCATCTCGGACTCCATCTCGGACTCCATCTCGGGATCCATCTCGGGTCCATCTCGGGTCCATCTCGGGATCCATCTCGGACTCCATCTCGGGTCCATCTCGGACTCCATCTCGGACTCCATCTCGGGTCCATCTTGGACTCCATCTCAGACTCCATCTCGAGTCCATCTCGGACACTCCCACGTGTCATGTGTTGGTCCTTTTGGGTCCCTTTTTGGAGCCTTGCCTTTTGCTCGCTTCGTGCTCGTTCCTCGAGCACTTCGTTGGGAGTTCCACTCCCGCTCTTGACTTTTCAAGTCGGAGCTTTTGGTCCAAACGTGTTACACTCGTTTGGCTCTCGCTTCGGCCACTACCATGTGGTGCCCTTCCGGCTCCACTTTGGGGCCTAGGGATTTTGTGTCTCACAATCGACTGGCCGATGCTCCCAGTCCAAGTGTGGGTGGCACTACCTACTTGGATACCTGGTGTGGCTCAACGAAACTTCATTCTAAGCCCATGGCTAGAGCACTTAAAGGCGGAGGGTGGGGAGAGTACACACGAAGCTCGCGTAGGGCCACGGTGTTCTGAAATGTTGTCCCGAAATCCCAAATGCGGGAAAGGAGGAGGAGCAGTCCTCTAGTGTAGTGACTACGGATATGGTCACATGGTGAGAAAGTCCCAAAGGACAATGGGACTTAGTGGCTGGGCCTGCAGGCCTTGATCTAGTGGCAGTGTTGGCGAACATGGCTATGGACGGAAAAAGGGACTTGGTAGAAACTGACAAAGGGATGTTGGGGAAGGTTATTCCCCATGTCTGCGGGCATCCTAAGGATGCTAAGGAGTGGATCTAGGATGACCACCCATGGAGGGAAGGCCTGGTCTTGGAGAGACGGGGTTGCAATGCATGTGGTGTTGGACCACCGATGTGACCAAGGTGAATGGGCATGGCCTAGCATAACGGGCTAGTATGTTGGTGGTACTTTGGGTGTCGGTCATGGGATCGGACATATGGAGCACTTGGACGAAGTGCAAAGGTTGAATGGCGAGGATGCCATTCTCGGGGCTAGAAAGCCCAAATCCAAAATAGGACTTATGGAGGTTGTGAGTGAGACTCCTCCAAGTGGTCGGAGGTGTGGTTAAGTGACTAAAGTAGAATGGAAAACTTAGTCGCTTACACTACCAAAATCCCACTACGCTAATATTAGTATACGGTATCGTATCCATACATTTGGCCCTCACATCATCCCCTCCTTTCGGAATAATGGAAGACCATTAGGGTTCTCTTGTAGATGGGCCGGGATCTGGAGGAACCTCAGGAAGAGGCATCGGCAGATCTGTAAGTGGTATTAACTGTTCCTGATCCCTTTGTATGAAGCATTTCAACCACTGTACATGCAAAATCTCGGGAGGATTGGCTTGTTGGATGTCATGTCCAACCTTATAAACTTGTGGTCCAACTTGCTGCAACACCCGATACAGTCCTTTCCACTATGCAAGGAGCCCCTTAGATAAACCATGTACCATAAGATGGGGAAAATGGACTAACACCAAATCATCTACTTTGTACTTCACAGGTGGACAATGATAGGAGTTGTAGTGCCATTGTTGTCCCACTTGTACGCGAGCTAAGTGTTCGGCAAACTCAGCTCAGACAAGTGGAAGAATGTTTGTCAAATACTGATCCCACGATTTATATTCAACACAAGTAGTGCTCATAAGTATCAAAGAAATAATTTTCCATAGTTCCATTAAATTAGAATATATATCTATCATGGAAATATCATTTCTGTATATCTGCCAAGCCACTAGCCCATTTTTTGTTAACAAATTACTTTGCATAATAGTTACAAAGTTGTTATCTAATTTTTCCTCATCATTTGAGTAACTAGCACTTGCTTAACATATGCTGCCCAGTTAGCAAAATATTATTTTTTATATTAAAAATTAAATTGGAATAGTATAAGAAAACAAATATTGTGTTCCACTTTGAAAGAAGAATTGGGTGAATACAATAATCAAATCTTGTAAACTTGATAATATAAATATTTAGAACAAAAGATATTCCTAGGCATAAGTAAGAATAAATATCCATAAACAAAAATAATATATACAAATTATTATTTGGAAATATGAATATATTTGGAAAAATACCCAACCTAGAAAAAGTAAAAATGAAATTTCTATTATTAATAATATGTTATATGTAAATTATATATTTAGTTGGGATAAACTTATTTTAAGATTTTATCAAACAGAAGAGAATAATTACTAAGAATAATTATTACTCATTTTTATTAGCAAGACATTACTTAATTGTGGTTTTTACTTAGAATATAAAACAATAAGTTTACATTAATATATTACTACCCAGATCCAGTCATGAAAATAATTACTAAAAAAATATTTTTTAAATATATATGCTATAGAAACTGTAATTCCATAGTATTATGTACTAATAAACTATACTTACAGTTAGAAAAAATAATTTTAAATATTACTGTTTAATCAAATACTGTATACATTATCTTAGCTTTTTCTGATAATGAGTTAGATTTTAAATAACTAAGGCTACATATAAAAATATAATATGTTGAAATTGTTTAATTTTCTTATATTAACACTTGAAATTTTGATCATGATCCTACACATTTATAAAATTAAGTCAACCCACATTTGATATACCATCACTTGGTGTTGGGTTTCATATATTATAGTGATATTTAAATAGGCCATCTAATATATTCTAGTTTAATATTTATGAAATAAGATTATCCTAGAATATAGTTTTCTTATTATATTTACAAATTCTGTTAAATTAAATTATAAAAGTTAATTGTGACATAAAATATTCAAATATTATAATAATTTATAAAAAAATAAGTTTAGGTAAAGTTGATTAATTTATTAGTAAAGCATTAAAAATAAAGCTGTTCACTTAAAAATAAATATTCACTCAACCTGTTAAACAGAATTCAAATCTCTGGCAGTTTTGGATTTTGATCTGGTGATGCCACCAAAGATATACATCATTTATCATGGGTACAACTTGTCATTGGTTAAATTAGCAAGAGCACTATACATTGCCATCTGAATAACATAAAATCTTTTGATACCACACTTCCTAACAAGAGATAGAACCTACTGTCAAAGTTTGGTCAGCACTCAAGACCTAATGTCCCAATCTTTGCACCTATGAATTATAAAGAAAGTAAAAATCTTACCATTTTGGTGGCCATGTGAATCTGCCACAATAAGAAGAATGTAAGCTGCTCCTCTGATGCCAGTGGTTGAGAAACTACATGCCAAGCAATTCTTCAATATGGTGCCCAACATAATCCTCCCAATAGAAAGATCACAAAGAATGTCACCATCCAAGCATAAATTTAAGCTAAGGATCAATTGCCACAGCTACTGCTGCAAGCTTGTGGTTTAGACATGTTGCTAGAGGCATCAGACCACCATACTGTCAAAGCAACTTTGCCTTGAATCCAAAGAAACAAAACAAGACAAAATAAAAATGAAGAAGAGAGAAAAAAAGTATCTACAATCTTAGTGACTCTCCTAAAATCTTTCCATCGCTAGTGACTTGATAAGAAGTTTGAGAAAATGCAATCTCACTATAAGAAAATCAAGTTACAACAGCAACTCCAATGGCATCATAGCTCATCTCAATTCCCAAAATAGGTAGCAAACCAGTAGCTATAGTGAGAAAAAAAGGGTGTCATGTAGGAATTTGCACATTTGAGATGAATGTGAGGTGCCATTGCTAGGGATTGGCAAGAGCACATGCCAAAGCTCACAAAACCCTAAATTAAGGGAAAGAAATTCACATATTAAGCTTGAATCACAATTTAAAGGCACCAATAGTCAGGTTTGCTATCACAGTAAACACTCTCCACTAAACTTTAGAACTTACCTTCTCAATTTCAAAGGGTCTTCATTACAAAAGGTTGAATGTTAATACCGGTTAACACTTTGCATGTGATATGTTGCCTAGCAAATGCTAAGTGAGTATAAAAATCAATAATTTTATACCGTTTTTTCCTTTTGATATCTCTATATACACACACAATACTATATAACATAGACCATATATTTAGAATACTAATATATCCCTAAAGTGAGAAAAGAAAAATTAGTAAGTAAATATTAGTAATAAATATAATATATGCAAAGTACTACTTGGAAATATGAATATATTTAAAATATTAAAATTTTATGAAACTTAAGTAAAAACAAAAATTGTTAAGAATAATTCTTTTATATTTATTAGATTATAAATATATTTAGTCAAAAAAAGTAAATTAAGAATTACTAAAAAATAGTTTTCTTAATTAGATGTTACATGTAAAGTATGTTTTTACTTGGGGTCAAACAAATTTAGAATCCTGAAATGGTAAAAAAACTAATATATTACTACCCAGACTAAAATAAATGTAAAGAAGAATTACTAAGATTAACTATTATTAATTTATGGAATCATTATTTAATTATTATGTGCTTACTTGGAATATGAATAAATATATAACTAAAATTTTAAGAACATTAATATATTACTCAGATCCCATAGAGGATTGCTCAATTAAAAAAAACAGCACTATTGAAAAATTAAAGTCTAACCTAGAAATCAAAAATTATATATACCCTTAAACTCAAAAATATTAAGAACACTAATACTACTACACAGACCCAAGTAAAATTAAGAAAAGAATTACAAAAAATAAATAATATACATGTTAAACACAAACTATAAATTCAAAACCTAATAAACTATATTTGTTCTTAGTCAAAAGATTTATAAACGTGTTTAATGGTAACCGTCAACCTCATGTTTGAAATGTAAGTTTCATGCCCATATGTAATTGCTGTAATTGCCCGATCAATATATCATCAATACATGGATTACAAAGAAGAAAAATGTATGAGATGTTAAGTGGCATCTTCCAGTTCCTTTCCAGTGCTCACCTCTGTCGTCACTAGTGGAGGCGCTAGGGGCTCACATCCTATGGTGGATCTAGAGCCTGCACTCCAGATCTGCTGCTAGCGCCTATTCCCGCGGGGATTGGGAGTTGCAGCTTCACTGGCCATTTACTCACTCTCCTTTAGGGCTATGCCCTTTCCCTAAAGCAGTGGTAGAGATCTTCCATGCAGGGAGCAACAGTGGCGAGATTGTAGAAAGGCATCCCATTAAGCTCCAGATCTACTGCTGGCGCCTGTTCCCGTGAAGATTGCTGTGGCGATTGAGGGAGATCTTTGGGTGGGAGATCTCTGCCTGGGAGGTTTGGGAGCCGCAGCTTCACTAACCATTTACTTGAGTGCATTGCTCTCTAATTTTAGGAAAGACACAATCCAGTCAACACTTTGCATGTGCCACATATCACAATGCTTTCTTCTCTCGCCCCACGCAGCTTGGCTGCCTCCCATTGGCCGAGAGCAAACATTAGCATGATTATTCGCTAAGAAGTGGTTAAAGAAATAACCCCTTTACAATTACCCCCCATTGGACGGTTGCAATTGGCTGGATCCGGCGGCCCAGAATGTTCGGCACTCCCACCTTATTATGATAGATTCTTTGGGCTGAACAATTTTGTAGCATTGAACATGCCTATATCTTTTTTCATTTTGGCCAGCATATCAATGTATAGTTTCTAAACACTCTCCTTGTTTAAATCTAAGCAAGAGCTCAAGCTTCCATCTCTTTTGCTCTCTCGAATAGGAGTATAATGTAAGGCATGTTTATGTTATTCCCCTTCAGCATCTATAAATTTGATAAATTCATCTTTAGTAGCCTCTACAAAATTAAGTGTTTCACACCAAGAGTCTCTTTTAGAAATTTTCTTCTGATACTTTTCAAAGTACCATTTAAATACCTAGCAATGTTAGCAATATCCACAATTTCAGCTTTGAAAGATTTTGTTCAGACTATTCGATTTTAGAAGTATATTAGATAGTATATAAATAGCAAATTGCATTGTGTAATTTATCAAAAATTGATATATCTTCATAGAAGAGAATTGAAATTCTATAAGAAGACTTGGTATTATAATGTTCATTCTCTTTAAGACTTCCCCCATGAGATAACCAATGTACACCATGGATTTGAAGCATACCAAATGCAAATATATTCATAGAATCTTCTAGAGGCTTAAAAGCTATGACTCTTTTTCTAAAAGTATGCAACTATTTATAAATTTGATTGCACAACTTTTGAACAACCACAAACTTAAGAAATGTATGCACAACTTCAATAGCCACTAAACTTTATCTATGTGCTAAGTAATGCACTCCAAGCAAGTGTAAAATGTTATGTTTCAATCTTGTCACTAGACTAAATTGTTCTCCAACCATAATAAAAGCTCTATCAGTTCTAATAGCAACACATTTTCCCTTTTTAAAGTTCATTTCTTCCAAAACCTTTTGATGGCCTCATATTTACTTATAACCTTTAGTTACTATCAATTTAAAAAAAAAAGTTTTATTTAGAGTTTTTTTTTCTTCTTGCATATGGAAAGAGATGTATATGATAAAATGAGCTTTCAAACTTCTATCAGTATTGTTATCCACTATAATAAAAAATTAAGGACTAGCTTGTGGCAAACATCTTTCCATCACACATCTTTTATGCATTTTAAAAACTTTTTCTCACTCATAACATTTACACAAGTCCTATACTCTATGGTGATTAGCATATAGGGCATTCCCATAAACCTGCTGAATTCACACAAAGATTTATAGCTTTCTAAAGGTAATCCCTTTTTCACAATGTAGTATATATATTGCATTAAGAAAATCAATCTGTTCTTGTATTGATCTTCTTGAGCAATAACATATTTAGGGATAAATAACCCTTTCTTTTTCTTTGCTTTCCAAATAACCATAACTAGTTGATGTTATTTAGAATTGTTATGCTTTTTTAAAATTAGTTTTTGAAGAGTCAAAGAACCATCTGTACTAAAAGGATTATCTTTTTAGCATATACATATGTCGTACATTTTATTTTTTGCTTGCCTTCAACATCCACTATAAGATACACCTAAGGAAAACTAAGTTTCTACTCAATTTTGAATGCTCTATTATTTTTCCTTTTTTTATTGGTTGAAGTATTAGTTTTTTCTTTTGTTGTTGAAAGATCTTCATCCTCTAATCTGATTTTAAGTTTTTCACCAAAAAGAAAATCATGAAGCTCTTGCCTTGCAATATTTTGCTGATTTATCTTTCTTTTCTCCCTCCCATACACAATAGCAAAGAATGCTTCAATCCCATGTTATTGCTGTCAACTTCATTGAATTCAAGTGGTTAGACACCAAGATATTCTTACAATATTCTTAATAATATTCAATAGAATATTATCTATACTGCAATGTACGAATTTTCTTTGCCCTGCAAATGGCACCACTAAAATATTTCTATACTTCATTAGTGCAAAGTGAAAATTGAACATTTCTTTCAAGTAGCAAGGCAAATTAAAAATTAGTCTTCAAATGCAAGGTAAACATGCCTTTGCAAGGCTTTGCAAGGTGCAAATTTGAGACCTGCATTGTCATCCCTAAATGTGATTTGGGTGTCACAGTTTTAAAGAGACTGCCGCTATAGGAGAGCTTACGGGGATGTTGAGATATTGCTGTAAGTTCCTTCATGCACTTCACAATGATAGTAAATGCCTTGTGATGGCATCTTAAACTCGTACCGTGGCATCTGCATTGCCAGTCCAAAGATTAAATAGCCCACAACCAAGAACAAAGTGAAGAAAATGAGAAAACTCTAAGAATGTTGCTGTCCCCTTAAGTCTCTCTGGCCATAAATTCGCTGCTACAATAGCTTATATCCTTTCTACGCTTTAAGTTTCAGTGCCCGTAGCGGATAGATGTCGTTTGGACACTGTTGACCACAATTGACTATCGTTGACCAATGGACCGTTGAATGGTTTGACTATGCTGGGTTCGATTCCTGCGCTGGGCGATATTGCCAGGGCTAGGGTTCTTCGATGGGGCTGCGAGCAGTGCCGATCACGGAGGAGAATTTCCGGCCTTTTGGCCAGCTCCTGGGAAAGATCGGCGACGGATGCGAGTATGGATCGGGAGAGGCGCAGCTCAATCTCGCGAATGGGATTCCCAGGTAGTACAGGCAAAATGTGGCCGAAATTTCCAGCGGCTCAGTAGTGATTGGGTGAGTGATGGTTCCTTTGCGCAGATTCTACCTCATGGAGCTCAAGAAAACGGGGCTGCGATTCAAAAGGATAACGCATCACGCCAGGGTGACGCAGTGTCTGGGATCAGTGGGAGCTCATCCTTGGTACATGGCGGTCTCTCTTCCCAGCATTGTGGATCCTTCATCGCAACACGAGGGCGCTGTTCGATCAACGCTGGTGGCCACTACTATTTACCTCCCTCTCATGCAAGCGTCCAGGTTTTCAAGATAGATGGTCCTCGCTTCATCAAGTTAAACGAAGGAACTTGGCACGCTAGTCCTCTCTTCGGTGATCGAGATTCGATGGTCTTCTACAACTTGGAGCTCAGTGACACCAACGTAAGATCATTCGAGGAGCTCCTTTTGTGCCTCGGGACACTGACTAGTAGTTGAAGGATGTACAAAATGAGGCTGATGATCCTGGTCGGAAGAAAATTTACGAACGGGATGACTCCCACAGACCATGGCGTCAACTCCCTGGTATAAATCTTTCTTAATTGAACTGTAACACTGTTAGAATTCTGTGCAGGGTGCTGATTATGGTCGAAAGCCGCCTGCTTTCTGTCGAACACGAGCGAGCGGATGTTGAGAGTATTCATGTAATTTGCCTCCTGCCAGTCCAGCTCGCTAATTCCGCCAAGAACTCGGGTTACCTCAGTCAACAGCAAGATGGAAATGTTCCAGAAGTCTTTCTTCTTGATGTCGGTGACAAATTCGAGCGGTGGATGATATCCTTTGAAAGGTTTTGCTGCTCCTGAAACTTATTGTTATTTCACCTCTTCGTGGTTCTGATTTTAATAATCTAACTTCCGTGACAACGGAAAAGTACGAACACTATGCTTGGAAAGTTTCAAAACAGCGTGGAGTGGTGACCACAATTTCAGAAAGGAGATCTTCTATGAAGTGAAGGAAGCTTTATTTTTGCATGTTGATTAATGTTTTCTTTCTTATTTAGAGTTCTGTTAGTGAATTACAATTGCGTAAGCGAAGTTGCTGCGAGTTCAGATCTCCTATGAAGTAAGCCTCTTCTTCTTTGGATGTTGATTGATTTTTTTCTTTCTTTTTTAGAGTTTACGTGAGCAAGTTGCTGAAACTGAATTTGTATTTTTACAATCGAGGTATGATTTTTGGTTTTTTTTTTTTGGAAAAGGTGAAGCTACAGCCTATGTAAGTTCAATAGGGCGCTGTTGACGAGCTCCTCGAGGCTTCTGGAATGCTTGGTAAGTCCCACAAAACCCGAAAACGTTAAGAAGTTTTCTTCGTCTGAGGCAGTCGCTGACATTGCTTCCAGGGACGCCTCCACTTCACCGTCTTCTCTAAAACGTCGCAAGAACCTGGCGTCCTTTGCCATCAAGCTGTTCAGAAGCTCTACGCTATATCGCCGGATACGATTCAAGCTCCTAGAAGGTGCTGTGTGGGATAGAAGCTCTGTGATTTTTTCGCAAAGCCGTGATTGTTGCGATAGCACGCCTTGTTCAAAGTTACGTGTGTCGAGCCAGGGGATTATGGCTGCTGCCAAACCGATGGCTGCCTGCTGTTCCTTGTCCGTGGATTCCAGCACCATCTGGATGATGCGAGATATGGCTGCTCCAAGCTCCAACTTTTCTTCGTCGTTAAGGTCACCGCACAAGCTTCGCAATATTGTGGCTGCATGGACTCCAATTGGCTTGGTGAGCATGTTGATCAAGCTCTTGAGGGTCTTGCTAACGCCACCTTGTCCGTAGCTTTTGCGCCTGAGGAGCCTCGAGCAATTGTTGGGACACTGGAGGACGAGCAAAAATATGGCTTCCCCGGCTCTCATGGCGATGCTCAACTGGTGGCTGTTCGGTGCGGTTTCTCTCGTAAATATGGCCATCAAGCTTTGGATAACTCCTCCAGTCGCACCAATGCAATCTCTAAGCTCGTCCTCGGTTGCTAGCAGCTTGATCACGTCTACTGCCAGGTCTTGTAGCTCCAAATCTTCGAGATTGCATATCCTTTGAAGACTTCTTACTGCTGACACTACCGACACTATCTTCTTTCGCAGAGACCGTCCAGAATCTCCTCCCGCGCCAGCCAATGTCCTCAAAAGCTCGAGTGATCGACGGAATACTTTTCTCGACGTTCGTACTTCGAGGAAGTTCCAGTCTTCGTCTTGGAGAAACGCAACCAGGATGGAGATAAGTCCGCTGGTGTTACCGATTCGCACGCATGTCCTGTGGTCCACGGCTAGCCTGTTGAGGATAGCGAGTCCGTACCTCTGTTCTTCTTGCACTTTCTTCTCTCCTGCAGTTAAAAGAGAAGTGATGGCTTCCAGGGATCCAGGGATAGCGGAAATCCTGAAGCAGTTACTGCGGTGACGAAGCAGGTACTTGATTACTATCGTTGCAGCTTTCCTGATTTCGGCCTCACTAAGATCCTTCCAGGTGATCATCTCTAAGAGTCTCTCCACAACTCCGGGCGTGGTACCAATCCTCCGTCGCGTTTCTTCCCTTGAAACTCCTTTTGAGACGAGAGCCGACAGTATGTTGACGCTACCGAGCTGCTCTTCCCTTATGCTTGACTGCAGCTTCTCGACGGTGAAATCGATAAGGTCCATTCCCAGGCCATCAAACACGCTTCCGTTCAGCGATCGTGAGTACAATGTGTACCAGTACTGCTTCATGGTTTCAATGTCGTCTTGATCAAGCTCACACTTTCGAGTGACTACTTCCAGCAACCTCTGGTAACGAAGCTTGAATTCCCAATACGCTCTCTCCAGGAGGAATAGCGACGCTTCTGCCAGCATCATCGCGTAAAACACCGTAAGTGCTTGCTCAGTGTTTTGTCCTTGGGAATTGGAGCCGTGCTCGGCAAGTCGATATACTGAGAAACATACGGTGACTGTTGCAGAAGCAAGCTGGAGGAAGTACATGAAAAGGCTGATGATCCTGGTGGGGAGGAACTTTACATACGGCAGGACCGGGACGCTTCCCACGGACCAAGTTCTTCGGGCACCGAATCCCTGGTATAAATCTTTCTTTACTGGATTTTTGGAAAGTCGATCTCTGCTAACGTTCTGTTCAGGGTGGTCATGGTCGAAGGCTGCAGAGAACGTCTGCCTTAATCTGGCGCTCTTGTCGAACACGAACGTGCTGAAGCCGAGAATTCCCAAGCTGTAATTTGCCTGCTGCCATTCCAACTCGCTACTTCGACTGAAAACCCGCGTTCCTTCAGTCAGCAGCAAGGCCGATATCGTCCAAAAGTCTTTGGCCGGAATGTTGCTCACGAATCCACCGAGGAGAACAACAGTTGCCCAGACGAAGGCCAGTTTCCCGAGGCCAGTGGCGAACTTTTCAAGAACTGCGAGCCTGAAAGCTATCAGAGTGAGACGCTGCTCTGGTGATCGGGAATTATTCCTTTTCACTGGAGCTGAAGGCTCGGGAGTGGAAGGCTGCTGCTCGACTTCCGGATGTGGAGAAAAAACCGACCACAACTCACTGGTACTGGGGGTTCTAGTGCTTGAAGGTGGAGACGGTGGAGAAGCGAGAGCAGAGCCGGAAGAAGGAACTTGAATGCTTACCTCGTCCGCAAAGTGAACGGTAGTCTTGGGGGCACCGGCCCTTTGAAGCTTTCTGCTGTTCCTCGAATCCATGTTTACTGTTCGAGGAGTTCTGGGGATTTGAGGAGGGCTCTTGCGTGGGTCCAGCTTAGCCTACGCGTGTGGTGACCGTGAGCTGCTATTGACGACTTCAAAATGTCTTTCTCATGTTGGTGGCAGTGATCAAGTAAGCCACTACTTTCGTTCTTGTGCTCTTGTGGTTAACTTTCTTTCTCGCAGTAAAAAGCTATGGTCGTCGCCACAGCAAACGCATTGGTGCCGCTTCTTGGTACAGAGACAAATGCCCGTCATCCTCGACCACCAAACGAGTTGAGAGGATAGAATTCGGTTGCGGCTGGCAGTAGACGTTCGTCGCCCAGAAGCCTTTTCCATCACGTCCCAAGAACACCAAGTTCCCATCCCTTTGGAGAGTGAGCGTGCATCCACTGCCTCCACCTTGTCCAGAGGTATCACTCGACCACAGTCTCCTTATCCCCCTCGCATACAGCACTAAGTTACAGGTTTCCTCCACAACCAGCTCAACGATGCCATTGAGTGACACAAGACGCTGTCCGGCGTAGAGCTCCGATCCTTCGTCTCCCCGTCCTCCACTTTCCATGCACGAGACAAAGAGGTCGCAGTCTTCGTCCATCAGGAGGTGAGTTGTATTCTTTCCCTCTTCCAGGTCGTGATCGGGAGAGCTAACGTAAGACTTGTAGGTGGTGCCAAGACGAACACTTTTCTCGCTAGAACTCCTCCCGGGAAAGCCGTGACGACGATACAGGTCCAGGTCAGTGGTGTTGCTGAATTCATAGCCATTACTAAAACTCCTCTCTTCGTATTGAATGACAGCGTAGTCGATTCCTATGATGCCCATGGTCGCGAAAATGTGGCCGTAGAGGCCTCGGCGTGTCTCGTCCGCGATGCAATCTGCCAGGAACTCGAAGGCTCGTCGCAAAACGGCGCCGGGCATGTAAAGCGGGCAGGGGCTGCCAGTGCATTTGCCACTCGAGTCGCGGCCGTAAAGCGAGAGCCTCGAGAAGGCGTGTAAGTTTGGCCCCGAGGCGAGAGTGAAGAAAGTGTCCCAGCTCTGGGGCTGGTACGTGACTCGCGGCTGGATTCTCTGGGCGATGTGGAGGCGGATCTTGTAAGCGATGATGTCGGCATCCAGAGGATGGATCTGATATGGATCTCTGCGCCGAAATTTGATGGAGTTGCAAGGGGAGATCAAGAGGCTTGTCCAAGAAACAAGGAGGAGTTGTAGCAGCATTGCTTGAGCGAGAGCAACCTGTAACTAATAACCATGGCTTCCTTCTTTTGTTGTTCTTGCTTGGTTTTCCTCGTTACACGAACAAACAAATGCCATTGTCAAACGCTTTCTTGACTTTTAGTGACTATGTCAACAAAAAGTCAACAGAAGTGGTTCTGGACTTATTGTCTGGTGTTCTACCGTACACAAGAAATGCGAAGAAACCGCTTTCAAGCATTTGTAAGGGAAGCTGGTGGAGTAGTTTGAAAAGCTAGAACAAGTTGAGGCGGCCACTAAACTTCACACTTTCTCTTCACTGATGAAGTTTACAGCTGTAGGATGAATTGTGGTGGCATTGGGTTTGCACTTCTCTGGTCAACTAGGGAAATGCTACGTGTTAAATTTGCTACCGTTGCCACAAAGTCTTCTAATGAAATAGAGTACAAAGCTCTTATAGCTAGTGTCCAAGAGGCTCTTGGTCATAATCTGCAACACCTAGCAATCAAGATAGACTCCAATCTTGCATGCCAACACATACATGGTGGGTTCCAGCTCAAGGGCTCACAACTTCTTCCATTACATAAGGAGCTTCAGCACCTTTTAGCACAGCTTGATTTTTGGACACTTCAATATATCTCTAGAGAGCAGAATGTGGTCATTAATGCCTGCTTGGATTTTAAGGTGTTTTTTGTTTCTTCTTTTGCAATCAGGATGGGCAAGGGACCTCATTACTACCTTCTGCCTATTGATTATTAGACTTGGAGAGATTATTTTGCACGTTTCATGGTCTTGGGTGTTCGAGGATTTCCTTGCAGTTGTCATGGTATGTTTCTCTCTTATTTTTAACTTTTGAGCATGAACTGCTATGCTGTACAGTAGCAGTCGAGAGGAGCATCCGAATCCTCCTCACATTTTTGCCGCTCGGGACACAGTGTTTGATTGTCTCAAAGTTACTCTATTGCACCGCTGAGCTATTCCTGTCAGCGGTTTAGGGTTTGCGAAGTCAACTAACATCTCACCCTTGATGCCTTCCTCCTCACCAGAAAACCTCACAGCGTTGTAATCTTTGTTGCTGCGACGTTCTTTTGCCCCGGTGTTGCTTGGAATTTGTTGCTGACGAATTCGTATTCATCCCCTCATGGCTACTCCCGTGATAACTTTTAGTTCTTGTTCGTGTTCACTGTTTTCTTACTTGCCAGAAAGTGCGTGTGTCACTGGCTGCTGATCACGGTCCTCCAACCGAAAATGTCCAGTAGTGAGCAAAACAACACAATCTGCTTCAATCTAGATCACTACTTCTAAAGAGTCTTTGTGAAGGAAAGTTGCTGGAAATGATGACAGCCAAGCTTCAACTCAGCATGGAACTGATGGTCTAAAGTGCACAGCTGGGGCCTTACATCTTTCCATCGTTGTTCCATTTAGTTAGGATGAGGAATAGCAACACATATTCTCCTGTGTTTGAAAACAATGTAGCACAGCAATTACAAGGTAGTTTACTTGCATACTTACTGGCTATGGATAAGCATGAAGAGCTTATGCTGTATTGACTCCAAAACCAAGGGCATGAGAGCTCCAATTCCTGATAAAAGAAAGGAAAATCTTAAGAAAGCCCGAGAAGAGAAAGGCCCGAGAAGAAGAGAGAAAGAAAACGTGTAGAGCTGACCATGGGTAGCAATCAACGACGGCTTTTGCCCAATCGTCTGGTTTGCTCACGCCATGTATGGGAGGACCCATGAAATCGAGCTTGCTCGCCGAGATCTCGCTGGAATCCTTCTCAAATTCCGGAGTGATGAACCAAGAACCGAGAAATCTGCCTTGTGCCGTCGCTCCTCGCCCCAGCTCAGAAACCCTAGGATATGATAAACCCTAAATTTCGATAACGGTTACGCGCCATTTGTAACTGCTGTTTGAAAATCAGGGTTTTTGTTGGACAAAAATGCTAGGGTTATGAGCTAGCATTTTAGGGCATCGCGTGACTCGGCGACACTATGGAGGGGGTTGGAATAAGGCGCAGGAGTTCCAGGCTCTCGGGGATGTTCGATGCCGCCTCCAAAGCTGTGGCTCAGCTGATTCAACGGTAAACTACCATCCCCTTCACGTGAAAAATGCATGATTTAATCCAAGTTTCTCTCTATAGCGACAATGATCCCGAGGAGGATCCAGATTTCATAGCTAGAAACCCTCGCTGGGAAGATCGTCTGCCTCCTATTGGAGGAGCGCTCAAGCCAGAGGAAGAGAAGACTGCTGCCTTGTTAGCTGCATTGGGAGATCTTCCTCGTGCTACTGACTCCTTGCCCAGGAAGAACTGGAAAAAAGCTTACAAAGCAGTCAAGCGAATGCTGGTACTTCAACTTTCTCTCAGTTTTTTTTTTTAAACCTTTTTCTAGCTTTATTTTCTAGGTGGTAAGAAGAAAGGCAAGACGCAGTGCTATAGGGACTGGAGCTCGACTAGATGGTCATGCTCTTGGGTTTTGGAGTCCCTACAGTACTACTCGGCTGAGGCTCTTCATGTTTCTCTATAGCCAGTAAGCCTCTCATTAGCTTTTTCATTTCTTATCCTTGCATTGTTCTTGCAGGAAAGCAGAGTATTTTATTCTGTTTCTCATCTGGGCTCACCTCATAGTGTTCATTTTCCAAGTAAAAATTGGCAACAGATCAGAACGCTGGACTGATATAAGGAATTTCAAGCTTGACTTTTTGGACGGTTTAATCACAGCACTAAGCACGTATGTTTTTCCGTAATTGATAAGTTTCGGCTTGAAAGATCTCTTTGGATGCAGGCTGGAAGTGATTCTAAAGATTTTTGTCCTAGGCCTCTACAAGAGACGTCATTGCTACCTTCGCAACCCATACAACCGGCTCGATTTTGCTATGGTCATTGATTCCTGGTACGATGCAACATGTTGCTTGTTTCATGCGCATGTCTGATGCTGTATGAGCTACAGGATACATATTATTGTTAGAGGCATAACTGGAAGTGATTTTTTTGCACGGTTGGCAGTCTTGCGTGCCTTTCGCGGCCTGCTCGCTTTGAAGCACATCACTTTTTTTGCCGATGTCATTGTATGCTGCCCCTCTGCTTTCATTTCCTCATTGATAATGTTTCATCCTTGGCAGGCTATCATGGCGGCAGTGAAACGAAGCGTTCGTCCGCTTGAAAATGTCATCTTGCTTACTTTTTTCTGGCTGGTTTTCTATGCGCTTCTTGGGACGCAATTCTTGCAAAAGACAATGTTAAACCGGTACTTGATTGGTTACAGTAACTCTTATTGAATTCCGATATGCGCAGGTGTTTGCGGAAAACGGACAAGAAAGAAGCCTACCCAGAACGTTTCTGTGACAAGAAGGTTCTCGATGCGTACATATGCCCTTCCAATCAGAAGTGTACGGTGAGGCATTCCACCTTTAGAGTGTTTGGGTGTTCGTGACGTTACGTTTGCAGTTGCATGGAAATCCGAACTATGGACAAACAAGCTTCGACTATCTCTGGTATTCCCTGATCAGTATGTTTCAGGTATGAGCTCTGCTATGGCATATCTTTGTTTTGATGCACCTTCGGACCGTTTAGATTGTGTCGCTGGAAGGATGGGCACTTATAATGTATCATGTAAAGGATTCTCAGGGGGAACGAGCAAGTAGGTCTTTATAAATTCTACTTGTGCTAAAGCTCGCCCGTGCAGATTCCTACTTCATGAGCTTGGTGGTAATCGGTGCATATTTTCTTGTCAATGTGTTCATAGCTGGAATAAGTGGAGTATTTCTCCGTGTTCGAGCAGAACACCAGGCATGAAGTCTTCTTTTTTTCACTTTTGAAGATCAAAAGGTGGTTCATTTCTTTGCAGGCGCTGCTAAAAAAAAGCCGTCAAGCCCAGACTTCCTTTTACAGTGCAACAATAATGGCCAACATCCTGAGGGACGACATCATACGTGACGATGCCAGTATGAGATGGCATACGCGGCTGTGGAACAAATCAAAGAAAGTGCAACGGAATGTTGTTCGGGCATTTAGTCGCACCCAGTCGTCCATGAGAGAAGCGTTCCGGTCTAGCTCATTGAGGCTAAGCAGGGCTGGCTCGATGACTTACAACCGCTCATTGAGTCGAAGTATGTCCATGGGAGCCAGAGCAGCTTTATCACTATCCGATCAGTGCCGCGCGATTGCGGAACGTCCTAGTTTCGACTGGGGCGTGCTATTGGCCGTGACTGTCAACGCTATCGTCCTGTGTTTATACAAGTACGGCATGTCCAAGGAACTATTGTACACGCTCTGTATCCACACTATTCGTTTTTCTTTTTCATCATCGTTTGCTTGACTTAACTCCAGCGCAGATGGTATTCAAGCTGTTCTCCTCGTGGTTTTCTCAGGAGAGCTTTTACTGAGGTTTCTTGCTTACGGTCCAGGCTCGTTTATATCCGACAGTAAGCAATTTTTGCTCCTTTCTAAGCTTTATCTTCGCATTGCTTGTAGGGATGAACCTACTAGATTTCTTTGTTGTTGTGGTCTCTGCTGGAGCTTTGGTCTCGCGCAAGTATCCAAACATCTCTGCTGTTCGAGTTTTGCGATGGTTCTACTTGTCAAAAAAACACGTCGACAGGAACCCCTCTGTTGTGGTAAGTCCTTGTGTTTCATTGAAAGGAATGTGGACGGTAATTATGTTTGCAGGCTACCTGTATGAAAAGTGTTGGCTCGCTTGTCAGCGTGTTCTTTTTTTATATGCTCGTTATTGTGGTATTTTCCATATTAAGCATGGAGCTCTACAGTGGCCAGTATTACAAGTTTTCGGACGGGTATCCCCGTGGAAACCACGATAATATGCTTCAAACTATGCTTCTCTGGTTCTCGGTAACTACTGCTGAGTCCTGGCCAAATCAACTGTGGAATTCGATGAGACCGGGAGTAGAGTACAAGTAAGCTCTTCTTTGTTATCAACAAAGAGGTTGACCCATGGTTTCGCAGCGGAGTGGCTCCTTTCCTGTATATATTCTATTTTGTTTTGACAGCTTTTATCATTATGAACCTTATTATCGCTGTTTTACTAGAGCGGAACGAGCTTACTGACAACGAGAAAAAGCAGATTCAACGGGTACTACTCAAGCTTGAGGCGCTGACAGACAATTCATTTCTCTTTCCCACAGACGGACCACATACGATTGCTCAAGCGCATGCAAAGCAGAGCGTACGTAAGAAGCGGAAGCTGGATGGTTGGCGCTGTCGAGGGAATGAAGTCAAGCTTTGGAAGTTTTGCGCACCGTGTCCTTGGCATGAGCGTCAGGCCAGTGAAAACTCACAAGGAATCTCAACGGGACAAACGCCGGGACCGCGACGCGGACCACGACCGAGACCGGGACCGCGATGATCGCGCTCGAGACAGAGGCTACGACCTCCCTGGAGCAGTTTCTGGGGAAGCAGAAGGGGGCGGACAAACTTTAGAGGCCGTGTCGACTACAGGTGCAGAGGAAAACACCTCCACCTCAACGACAGGAGGAGAAAGAAGAGCCAGTAGGAACTCTCAGATATTACAGGCTACCGGATTTCCACCAGACATTGGGGAAAAGCGAGGCTCGAGGACTGCACTGGAGGATGCTGTTCTCACGCTCGCGGACATTACGAAGCCTCCTTCGTTTAAGTCTACCAGCATGCTCATGAGAAGTCTGAGCAGAAGCAATAGCAAGAGGGAGTCCTTTCAGCTGTCCGACTACGAACTACTTGAGAAGGATTTTACCAGAATTGAAAGGCCATGGTACCTGCATGAAGGATCGCTTTTGATTTTTGGAGAGAACAGCAGCCTCAGAAAACTTTCGAGAAAAATCGTCGAGCATAAGTGGTGGCGCTGGTTTTCTCTTGGCTGGGTTGCCTTGAGTACCTGGATTGTTATTGAGATGCGATCGACTGGAGAGCCAGTCTTTGCCGACCTTGCCATGAAGATTCTTCACAAGCTCGTCTTCGCGGTCGGTAAAGCCTTCGTTTCTCCTGTCCATGGTTTAACATTCTGAGTTAACAGTTTTTTATGGTGGAGTTTCTGCTGAAAGTAATCTCTTATGGTTTAATGTTTTCGCCTGACGCGGTGCTCAACGATCCTTACAATATCTTGGATATCTTTCTACTTATCATCGACGGACTTAATCTATCGAGCTGGAGTGGGAGTGAGAGGTCTAGACGAGCAATACATGCTTTGACTGCACTCCGACCATTTCGGTTTATCTCTCGGGCTGCAAAGCTGAGGACCCTATTGACGAATCTCATCAAAACCATTCCGGCTATAGTTGCTGTTCTGCTATTCACCTTCCTCATCTTCGTGATTTTTGGATCCATAGGAATACAGTTGTTTCGAGGCCTTCTCTATTCGTGCAACGATTCAAGTATAACTCATCGAGCCTATTGCACTGGTCACTATTACAACAACGTTGGCCTCTACTCTCCACGGGCGTGGAAAAATCCCACGTTCCACTTTGACGACATTGGCAACGCTTTCCTCTCGTTATTCGTTTGCTCCACTTTCGACAACTGGGTGACGAACTGGCTGTACCCCGTAATGGATATTGTTGGTCAGGACAAGCAGCCGCAACGGGATAGCAGTCCGGCTTATGCCATTTTCTTTGTGGCCTTTTGCATATGCGGGGGATTTTTCATAGTCCGGGTGTTTATCGGAGTATTCATCAACGAGTTTGGCAAGAACTCCGGGGCCTTGCTTCTGACCGAGAGGCAGAAGCTGTGGCGGGACATGAATCGAATTATCCAGAAGACGAAGCCAGCAGCATTGCCGCGACCTCCAAAGAATTTCATCAGGAAGTTCTGTTTCTATGCCATCCGAAATCGTACGTACCAGAAGATCATGATCATTTGCCTCCTGGGATACTCTGGACTTTTGGCCACGAACTATGCTGGCCAGCCGCCATATGTTTCCACACGCCGCCAGAAAGCTCACGTCGCTCTTACGACATATTTCTTGTTGGAGGCTCTGACGAAGTTTTTAGGCGACGAGGTATGTGCGGGAGCGTTTCCCCTGAATTCTAACTTCTTTTCTTTTCTTTTTTGTGCAGTTTAGAGTTTACAAAAAAGAGTATTCGAGGCACATTGAGGCACTGATATCTATTATAGCGGCGTCGGGCTTGATGGGAGTGAAGGGAACACCGAGGGGTTATCTTGGTCGCTTTGGCTACATTACTCGGGTCTTTTGCATCATTCCTCACGTACCGAGAGCACGGGTGATTATCAGAACCATATTCATATGTTTGCCAACAATGGGAGAGATCATGGCTCTTCTCGCTATTTTCCTGTTTGCGTTTGCGGGTGTTGGCTTCCAGATGTTTAGTCACGTCAAGGACGGGAACTGCATTGGCCCCGTGCTCAACTTTCGGACATTCGTCAATTCTTTCATTACCGTCTTTCAGGTAAGTTTCTTGCTTTCTGGCTCTTCCATCCCTCACTTCTCCGTTTTCTTCGTTTTTTTTTCCCACAGGTTTCAACACTGGACAACTGGTCTTGCATTATGGGTGACGTGATGGTCGGCTCACCCCTATGTTCCAAGAGTAGCCATTTGACGGCGAACGACTGTGGCTTCCCCTTTGCTGGGGTGATATACTTCGTGCTGTTGGTCCTGGTCGCAAGCTTTATCTTCATGAACTTGTTTGTAGCTGTTATTCTCGACGCCATCACGTTTGGATTGGTGAATGAGAATTCGATGGTCACGCCTACACACCTTCTCGGCTTCAAAGCTCTATGGGCTCACTATGATCCCCAGTAAGCAAAGCTCTTTCATAGTTTTAGGCCCGAACCTTTTCTCTGGTTGGCAGTGCTACGGGATACATTGGAATGCACAAGCTACGGAGATTTGTGGATGCGCTGGGTATCCCCTTGGGACGTCGGCATAATGCCACTGTGGAATGGTATGAAGCTTGTTTTGGTGGGTTTGCTCGATGATAGCCTTTTTGTTGTCCAGGATTATGAGGATCGAGTTCGAGGTCCTAAGCTTTCGAGTCCCAAACAAAGGCATTCCTTTCAAGCAGCTGCTAGAAACTCTGACGCTCTACAAGATTGGACCCACAGTTAAGCAGCTCACGAGCGTTCTTTTTGTTTCTTGAGAAGAGTCTCTCTTTCTATGAGCACAGGGTCTGCCGCTAACTCTTCGGATCGAACGAGAGAAACGAATTCACGACATTTACCTGCGGGGAGCGGCCACAAGGATTGAAGCTCTAGTGCGGGGATTTCTAGTGAGGAGAAGAGCCGCGCGAGCGAGAGGAGAGGAGATTGGAGCGAAGCCCAGGAGCGATCAAACCAAGAAGGAAGAACAGAAACCAGACGAAGGCGGCGGCGTCAGGAGCGGCCCAATGCTTGTAGAGGGTATCGAGTAGAAATTTTTTTTGTAAATAGCATATTCTAGGAATCGAACATCGGCATATTCGAAGATTTATTCAGGGTTTTGGGGGCGATAAGTACTCGTGCTCTTTTTTGTAAATCTCTACCTTGCAGCTTTGAAGCAGAAGATTTCCTGCTGGGAATCTGAGCACGACGTGGTCGACGTCGAAGACACGGCAACTCCGACGACCACAAGCATTGATACTCAAATGCAGAACGAAGAAGCACTCTGGTGTCTTCGTGATCTGAGCTTGATCAGTTGGAAATAAAACTGTGGACTTCGCAGAGTAAGGAAATTATCCTTAACGTTTGCTTAACCAAAAACTGTTTTCATGCAGTTGGAAGAACTACGCGATTGGCAGCTTGATTTTAACTGCTGGACTGGGTGTCAAGTGTCGTCCTCCCGTTTTCCTCCAAGCCTGGGACAAGACGGCATGGTATTACGGCTACCTTGAGATTGATGAGATTGAGAATGGAGAGATTTCCACTAGACGGAGAATATCCAGTGGGCAAACTGTTTATTAAGGTTGGCGGTCGCAGCTTCGTTGATCTGATTGATATATATGCAGCCAGACGCGTTGCCAAGTTTTGTTGGTGGCGAGAGGTTCTATGAGGAGTGCTGAAAGCTTTGGTAGACTGCAAGGTGACAGAATGGACGCCTGAGTCTATTTGACGGCGTGTTTTTCTCGTGCTTATGCTTGGCCAGGTTTACAAGGCGTATCATCAGAGAAAACGAGCTTGTCGACGCTGCAAGACAGATCGGTGTAGCGAAGGACCAATGGCGCTACGTGCTGGGATTGCTGCTCGCGTGGCGTGTGGACTTCGCTTCCGACGTGATCCCACCTCTCAATTACCTTGCGCAGAAATGGATGAGAGAAGCCGATGGCGACTGGATATGTGCTGATCGCAGCGATTCAAAACGGCGGGGACATGTCGAGGCCTCTTTCGGCCGTGGTCAAGCATGCATCTCCAAAGCCCAAGAAATGTCTAAGATTGTCGAAGATGCGCTAAAGGTGGCATGGGATTCCCCTTCCAGGATCCTCGCAAAAGTACTAGGCTATTGATGGGCTCTTACTGGATTAAAAGGCCAGATCAATATGCGGCGTGGTGCTGTGCAGCACTACATATGGTGCTGCAGAGCTCTGGGTGGGAAAGTCGAGAACCATGCGTCAGCTACGCTTCCTGTCATGAAGAGCGGGTATAGTCCTGGCTGACGTGCTGATTGATGGTAAAAATAGCAACAATTCGCGCTCCGTGGATTTAAACTCAGATCCAAGGGAAAACTACAGAGGTTCCGCGTGATTTGAAGGTGTTTGGTGTTAGAGGTAGAGATGATGTGCGCGTGGCAGTAGTTTCAATGTATATGTACCCATCCATATACAGTTGATATACACAGAGTTCTTCTTCCATTTCTGAGGCTCGCCAAGGCGTAGCTTCTGGATGGCAAAATCCACTGCCTCATCCAAAACTGCGCCATTGTCGACTGTTGCGAAGGTGTGTACTCATTTGCAACGACATCAAGTTCTTTACTGCCTCCATGTCCGAGGTGTGGCGACGTACTTTTTTCAGGAGCAAAAGGGAAATTGTATAACCATTCTAACTATTTCAAATCGGCGGTAGAAGAATGGATTGCAAGCTTACTAATTGCAAATTAAATATTCGTCACTAATAATATTGCTTCTCCTCGCAATGCAACAATGCCAAAACTGCGCTTACCACATGTTTCCCTTCTCTATGTATATCAAATCTTGGATCCTTGATTTTTCTCGTGAGCAAGTCATCTAGCTGCGACCGCAATGCCTGGGCACACAAAAGCTGTTAAAAAGAAACTCTTGCAAGGACAGCAACTTACATTTACAAGCTCCATGGTCTTGGCAGACGCTGTGAATTGTAGATAGCCATCGAGCATCTCCACACCTTTGCCGTTTGAGACGAGCGGCCCTCCAAACATGAGAAGAGCATAGTCGGAAATGTTGGTGGTGTCCCGAAGGTAGATCCCGGTTGTCTTCACCTTCTCACTGTAGACGAGCCATGGCTGTGCAAACTGGCCGACTCGACTGTTGACAGAGGCCGGATGAGGCTCGACTTTGCCATCGTCCTTTGTGAAAAACGCTGTTCGTCTTCCCCTTGCCTTGCATTGCACGACGTTCGGGTATAAACCAGCGCACAAAACCGCACGAACCATTTCCAGATCGTCACTGTGCTTGTTGTAAGCCTGGACGAGAAATGCATCGTAAGTTGGAGACAGACATTGCAAAGTAAACTCTACCGCATAGTTTGCTGAGTTTGATGAGTTATCGACGAAGCCAATCTTAGAAAGATGGTCGTAAAACTGTTCTCTCGCACCGTCCATCCATTGTAGAGTCTGTGCAGATAAAAAATTCTCCCAGCAATAATTGCGTTCGCGTCCATGTCGCTTGGCAACTATATAACCTTCATATGCCCTCATTAGAGCTAAGTGGTCACTGCTTATCAACATCATAAAAAGAACCCCATGAAAATCAAGGCTTGACTGAATAGAAAAGTACCTTCTCGCGTTTCCTGCGAGCCTTCGTTTCGCTTCGTCAGCAGCATCTCTCTTATCGATCGGAATAACAAAAGGATCCCGGTGAGCCAAGGCTGCCGCAATCGTTAGCGCTGGATCTAGACACTGAAATATGGCTCCCATCAGCAGCATTTTGCCAACCTTTGGATCTAACGGCAATGTTGTAAGGTGTCGACCTGCAACCAGAGTTAGCTCATATGTCTTAGAAACCGCGGCTTGAATCGTACCAAGAGACGTCAGCTCCTCACGATCGTCCAAGGCACCGATCGTCTTTAAAGACTCAATAGCATTATCCACAGCACGGAGCTCTGGAGGCTCCAGAGCTTTAGATAAGAACTTCGCTATACTTCCGACCTGTAGGCTCTTTATCTGCAGACAAAGAGATTCCAGGGGTGTTCGCAGGATTTCTGGAAGCTGATACTGTGCCATAGCATCGTACATCAGCTTCGGGTAGAGATGAAAACAAATTCCAGGTTGCACCCTTCCGGCTCGTCCTCTTCTCTGGCAAATAAAAGCAAGAAAATGTGCTAGAAATCCTTCAGCTAAGAACCAAGGACGTAAATTCAGACCTGATGAGCAGCAGCCCTGGATATCCAGGATGGAAGAAGGCACGCCAGCTTGTTAAGAGCATCATAGCTAGTTTCCTTAGCTTTCCCACAGTCGATAACATACACAACGTCATCAATAGTTATGCTAGTTTCTGCAATATTCGTCGCTAAGACAATTTTTCTGCATTGAAAGCAGAAAGTTAGAAATCAAAACGATCAGCCGGAAGCATTACCTTACACCAGGTGGAGGGCGTTGAAATATTTGCCTTTGATTAATTGTAGGCATGGATCCATGCAGAGGAAGCAGCAGTTCATTTCTTACGGATGGATTGAGTTTCAGCTTGTCCAAAAGCTTGGAAATGTCATCCCAACCTGTTAAGAATACCAGAATAGCACCATCGTCCTTCTCTTCGCATATGTGTTGAATTGCTGCCTCCACCTTCACAATCGGATTTAAGAAATTTCAGGGGAAAGAATACTGGAAAATCCATACCAGGTCAAGGTCTATGATTTCTGGATTCCAGCACTCCAAATACTTCCTTGTTGACTTGGAAAATTGCTTGTATGTATCTTGGATGACCACTTCCTGTCGATACAGTTGAGAAAATTCAGTCGGGGCAATAAGTTGGAGTACCTCAAAAAGTTCAGTCAGAGAATCCTTTTGTTTCTCAATTCGTCTTCCTCCAGAAAACCGAGAACTTGCTTGGTTATTTTGTGATTGGAATCCAGTACTTTCCACAACATCTTCCAGGAAAAATTCTCGAACGGGAAAGGTAAAACCCTGGCAATTCGAACACGTTCAGCTACACACGCAGGAAAAAGAAAGTGCTAACCGGAATGTGCAGCTTCGGTGCATTGCCAAAATATTTGGAGAACATATCGGCATTGATAGTTGCGCTCATGAGAATGAGACGTAGCTTAGGCCTCTTCGGTAGAAGGTCTCGTAGAACAACCAGCAGGAAGTCTTCGTTCATTCCACGCTCGTGTATTTCATCGACTATCACATGACTGACGCCCTCTAGCAGCGGATCTTGAACCTGCAAAACAGTTTGTAAAAATCGCTAAAGCGTAATCATGGAATACAGTATACCAGACGTCTCAAAAGCACACCAGTCGTGCAAAAGAGTAGCCTCGTCTCTTGCGAACGCCTGGCCTCCAGTCGGATTTGATAGCCAACACTTTCACCAAGCTCGTCTCCCCTTTCATCAGCAACGCGAGTAGCAACTGATATGGCGGAAATTCTTCGAGGTTGTGTACAAATTATGTCACAAGCCGCGCCTCGCCCTGCATTTATCTCTTCTTCGAGAATAAACTGTGGCAACTGCGTGGTTTTCCCGCATCCTGTTTCTCCGGAGACTACTAGCACCTTTCCGCAAAGAGTTTCACTCCACTCTTCCATGCATCATAAATATTAAAATTTACCTGATTTTGAGAAACCGCTTGCAGGATCTCATCTTTCATTTTAAAAGCAGGAAGCTTCTTTCTGAAAGATGTCATTGACTTTGCTGCCGGACCGGCCTGTAAAGACGAAAATTTCACAAGATGAGAACCCAATTCAAGAACAAAACTCGAACAGCCTAGCCTGTAGTTCTTTTTGACGCGCTTTTAGCCTTGCACTGAGCTCGGTGTTGTTGACGTTCACAACACCTTTCCGACGTTCATCCAAAGTACTGTCGTCACCGTGTGAAGATGTTCCAGCGCAGTCTTTCACCACCGAGATTTTTCCAATTGATTTCGCTAGCATGGACTCAACATGCGTCTCTGTGTCAGCTGAGATACTGATCTGGAAAAAAAGACCACTCAAAACCATCAAGGAAGCGCTTACGAACATACCTTACGCTGCGACTGTCCATGCTTCTCGTCAAGATCAGCTCGATAGTTGGGCAGAGGAGCTTTGCTGATAACCAGCACCGTGTTCCGGCCTCGGTTATATGCATGACTGCAGCCAAGGAGTATGAATCAGCGACAAAGAACTAAAGGAAACAAAACAAAAAAAAAAAAACTCACAAATAAAATCCAGATTCACGAGCCATTGCCTCGAGCTTATCAGCGCCGGCACGTCCATAGTTCGTTTTTATCACAATCTCTTCCTCGTCCGAGAACTTGTGCTCTTCCAGCTTCGTCCACCATTCATCCTCGTCCAATTCCACATCGGGACCCCTCTACAATTGCCAACAAACAAAGAATCCCTTCTAAGATAAAAAAAAAAAGAAAATCACACACCGCAGGCCACAGATTATCCGACCTCTTCGCGCATTTGCCTCAGCCTCTCAGCCCTCCAGGCAGGATCCCACCATCGCTGCTCTCCTCCTCCTCGTCCGCCGCCGCCGCCGCCTCTCCCCCCGCGGCCGCCTCGTCCTTGCGCTCTCCCCCTGTGGCTCGATCTAGACATTGTGCACAGCCCTAGCAGTGACGGCCTAAGAAATGGAGCTCCGATGGGACGACCGTGGCAAGGACAAGAGATCGATAGCCTTCGCAAACAATGCATCTATAGCCCTAGCCTCGTGGGCGGGTTTAAGAGGATATGCAAAGATTCCCTCTGCATAGCCCTAATGAATATTTTTTTCTTTATTTGAAAAAAGGAAGGTTTAAAGCTAAAACTTCTACCTAGCAAAATGATGTTGCATTATAAACTAAAACTAATAAACTAAAGTAAAATTCAAGTATTTCAAATGTATTATAAAAGTTATAAAACTGATTTATATACATTTTAACTACTCATCAGATTATCCATAATTTACTAATTTTGATGTGAAATTTAATCATTTAACAATCCATCAATCCATAGATCAAAATTTAAGTAGATTTACAGATTTATACTAAGGAGATAAAAATGAGTTATAAAACTGTAGGTTTTACCATCATTTTTAACACTATAAAAACTATATAATTATTTGAAAGAAATTTATTGTATTTTATGAAAAGTTATTATATATATTATTTTGAACTCAAATAGAAAAAAGTGTTTGTGAGGGCCAAGTGTATGGCTACGATGCCGTATACTAATATTAGCGTAATGGAATTTTGGTAGCCGTCAGATTAGTTTCAATCTAGACCACTCGCTCCTGTATATAAGTTAGGGTTTTTGGGCTAATTGATATGCACATTTCTATACTCCCTTTCCATATTCCAAGCACTCACATTGGTGGAGATGAGGGGCACTTTTAATTGTCTCTGAGGAGTGCTTGAATTTGGGATTTTGGTTTAGATCTAGCTTTTGTATTGTCTAGATCTAGCTTTTTCCATTTCCTTCTTTTTGTTCTTTGTTTTCAGGATTTTGGTTTAGATCTAGCTTTTGGCATTGTCTAGATCTACCATTTCCATCTAGCATTTTGTCATTTCTCTTCTTTTGCTCTTTCTTTTTCATTCGTCTCCATGGCAGATCAACAATCTCCTCCTTTGACTCTCGAGCAGCAGTTGGTCCAATTGCTTGATGCTATGCGCTTGCAATTGAACAACCAAACTCAATTGATGGCAGCATTCACGGCACGTGGTCCAACTCCTCCTGCTCTTGGTGCCAATCCTCGCGTTCGGCCGGAGTTCTTTCATGGGAATCCCGGGGATGATGTGTACCATTGGTTCGATCACTTCACGGTGATTGCCACATATCATTCTTGGGATGATGATTGTTGTTTACGTGAGTTTCCCACGTGTCTCCAAGGGACGGCGTTACAATGGTACAATGGATTGAGTGCGGCCACTCGTGAGGATTGGAGTGTTCTTCCGGACGTCTTCAAACGCGCCTTCGGACATGCCGACGATTGTGACGATGCCTTCCAACAATTGCATCGTCTTCGCCAAGGGCCATCTGAGTCGGTGATGCAATTTGGCGTTCGTTTCCGAAGTCTTTTGCTTCGTGCGGAGCCCAATATGTCGGAGCGGATCAAGCTAGGAATGTTGTGGCCAGCACTTCGTCAAGATCTTGTCGGCCTTGTGCATGCACTTGCTCCTGCCACCCTTGACGATGCTCTTCGCTTGGCACAACGTTATGAGACGTCGCCTCTTCCACTTCTCACTGCACGTCCATCCACTCCACTTTCTATGAGTGATGGTCCTGTTCCCATGGAGGTTGATGCTGCTGCTACTCGAGTCCAAGGACAAGGACGAGGACGTGGTCGTGGCCGTGATGTTCATTGCTGGGCGTGTGATGAAGTTGGTCATACTTATCGACATTGTCGGCGCTTTCCGGATTGGCGACCTCCATTTCCTGGGTGGAGACCTTGGCGTCAACAACGTCCCGTTGGTGCTGCTGCAGTGGAAGGTTTGGACATCGAGATGAATCCGGGAAACGAGGAGTCGCGTGAGTAATGGAGGGACCTTGCGCGAATAAGTCAATGACCCCTCCATATTTCTTTTGGGAGTATCATCAAGGGGTTCACTCGGCACCAGTTCATCCAGTGTTTACTTTTCAAGCTCATCTTTATAACAATAGGTCTCCTATTATTCTCTCCGTGTTGGTTGATACAGGTTCGAGTTTATCTTCTATTGCTCGACCTGTTGCCACACGTTGTCGTCTACACTTGCGTCATGCGGCGGAACCAGTTTTCATTCTTTATGGCAACGGCCGTACACATGCATGTGCACGGGATGAGGCAGACCTGGTTGTGCGTGTGGGCGATTTCGAGCTTGAGTTGCAGTCGTTGTAGGTGGTGCCGAGTCAAGCTTTTGACCTCATTCTTGGTATGGATTGGTTACAGCGCACTCATGCCAAGTGTGACTTTGAGGCTTCTCCCCCTTGTCTCATACTTCCTTATGTTTCCTCCATTCCTCTCACATCTGTACCTCTTCATCCCTCTACTTCTACCTCTGCTTCCATTACTTTTGTTCCCCTACTATTTCCTCCTGTGTTTCCATCTTGTTCTACTCTTCCCTTTTCCGATCCCTCCGACAATCTTTGTGTTGCAGCAGTTGACCAGCTCATGAAGGAGTATTTTGATCTCTTTGACTTTGACCTATCATCTAGAGCCAAGATTGCTACACGTCATCCGATTCCAACTGGGGATGCTCGTCCAATCAAGGTTCCTGTTCGTCGTTGGTCACCAAAGGAGATCAAGATTTTACGTGCAAATGTCTAGGAGATGTTGGAGAAGGGTGTTATTCGGAAGTCGCGAAGTCCTTGGGCATGTGAACCTCATCTTGTGACGAAGCCTGATGGGAGTATTCGTTTCTACATCGACTATCGTCCGTTAAACGACGTAATGATCCCGGATGTGTACCTTCTTCCTCACACTGCTGATCTCTTGGATCTTCTGGGGCGAAGTCGTTGGTTCACCAAGCTAGATCTTGCTTCTGGGTACTGGCAAGTACCGATGGCCGAAGAAGATATTCCTAAGATTGCTTTTCGTACACCATTTGGTTTGTATGAGTTCTTGGTGATGCCATTTGGTTTGAACAATGCTCCAGCAACTTTTCAATGAATGATGGACGAGGTTCTTTGCGATATGCCGGAGGTGACTGCTGACTTCATTGATGATGTCTTGATCCACTCGGAGGGGACGTGGGAGGAGCACGTTCATGATGTTTGTAAAGTGTTGGATCGGCTATGCGACGTTGGTTTAAAGCTGAAGCGGTCGAAGTGCGTGTTTGGATCCAAAGACACAACTTATCTTGGGTACCGTATTTCTCATGAGGGTTTGCAAGTTGATCCTGACAAACTTGTGGCTGTTCTAAAGTTCCCTACTCCGAAGTGTGTGAATGATGTGCAGCGCTTCTTGGGCAAGGTGCAGTATCTCAGGCGTTTTGTGGATCATCTTTCTGATCACACTGCACCATTGCGAGCGTTGCTGAAGTCATCAACATCATCTTTCATCTGGTCTCCGGATTGTGAGCGGGCGTTTGGGGATCTCAAAAAGTTATTAACAACTCCTTCGGTTTTGGCATATCCTGACTACACTCGACTTTTTATTTTGCGCGTGGATGCTTTTGACATTGGTCTTGGAGGTGTGTTAATGCAAGAGAGCTCGAGTGTGCCTGGTCAGTGCCATCCCATTGCATATATAAGCCGTACATTACAACCAGCAGAGATGAACTACTCCACGACAGAGAAGGAGTGTTTAGCAGCAGTTTGGGGTTTCGAGAAACTTCATGCATATCTACATGGTTCTCGGACGTTACTTGAAGGTGACCATGCTGCTGTTACTTCGTTATTAAAGCGAAAGAACTTGGTTGGTCGTACTGCTCGGTGGGCTTTGAAGCTTCAGATATATGATTTTGATGTTGTTCACCACCCAGGGAGTTCTATAGCTGATGTTAATGCCCTTTCTCGAGCTCCTCTTCCTTCTTCATTCTCTTCTCATGTTTCTGACGAGCCTGTCGTTCCAGCATCTGTGGATTTTCTAGACGAGGATTCTGTGCCGTTGGCGGTTGCTATACTTAACGTTCAGTGTCCACAAGGTGCAGAGCAAGATCTACCTTTGTAGCGCACTTTATCTCTCTCCCCTTAAGCCAACTGGAAAAGGGGCAATTGCTTTATGAGAGAGCCCTTAGTGGCTATTTTATCCCCATTTATCTCCCAAGGTTCCAAGGATCCACGGTAATAGTATATCCAAATCTCATCCCATGATCACATGCGCTATAACCTTCACTTGATGAGGTTCGCAAGGCTCAAAAGATTGAGCCATGGATTCGAAGGCTTCGAGATGGGTTTGAGAATCCTGCATCACTTGCTGATGACTTGCCTTTTCGGCATTTACATTCTCAATATCGTCTTGAAGGTGGCCTTCTTTATTTTGTGGGGACAGATCCTGATGATCATTTACGGCTGGTGGTGCCTTTTATCTTTATTCCGCGGTTTCTCCATGCCTACCATGATTCTCCTGTTCTAGGTGGGCATATGGGACATCGTCGTGTAATCGAGAAGCTACACAGGTCTTTCTATTGGCCGGAGATGCGATGTGATATTATCCGGTATATGCGTAGCTGCGTTTGGTGCCAAGCTCGTAATACTCCCCCTCAGACTGCAGAAGGACGGTTGGAGTCAATTGCAGTTTCCCGTCCATTTGAATTGGTGGCGTTTGATCTTATGGGACCTTTTCCATAGTCAACTGCTAGCAATGAGTATGTTATTATTGCTTATGACTATTTGACTCGTTGGGTGGAAGTTGGTGCTCTTGCTAGTGCTTCTGCAACTGCTGTTGGATACTTCGTCCTCAATCGAGTGGTGTTCCAGCATTCTTGTCTAGAGCGGATTCTTTCGGATAATGGTCCTGCTTTTATGGCTGAGGCATTTCATGTTTTGAAGTCTCGGTTGGGGATTCGCCACACTTTCACGAGTGCTTATCATCCACAATCAGACGATCTGGTGGAACGGCTCGTTCGGACGTTCAAGGGGATGATTGCGAAGTATGTGAACTTTCAGCATTCAGATTGGGATGGTTATTTGCCGTCTCTTCAGTATGCATATGTCACTAGGGTGCAGAGTTCTGTTGGTGCTTCACCATATAAACTTCTATATGGTCATGATCCAATATTACCAACAGAGCTGGATTTACCTTCGCGAT